CCTTCAGGGAACGAGGGTTACATACGTAACCGAGACGTTACATACTGTATTTTTGATCAAATCCATGCAGCCTTGGTGAGCATGAGTGACTTCTTTTAAAACATTAAAAAATCTTATGGACCTCAAACCTTAGAACGGTAGCGTATCATTGCTAAAGTTGCTAAAGCACCCAAAGATAAAAACAGACAAACTGAGTTTGTACACTAATAAAGCACAAACATTTCTAATAAAATCAAATTCAGACAAAATCATGCACTGTTCTCCCAGATATAGTATAAATGTGATGAATCATGTGTTTTGCTATCAGATATACTGAAGACGTTCCATGAAATCTTGTGAACATAAATGTGTGCGTTTCTCCATGACAGACAGTTATCATTTAACCCTCATGGTCTGGTCATTTTGACCCGGAGAGGATTCTCTTTTTCCCAAAATGCTAGTTAATGTTACCTTATTTGACTACCCCCCTCCCACCCTTTTTTTTGTATCTTTTACACCTTGTTAAACTAGTAGTGTTTCCATTCAAAAATGACCGACCTACAAAATTGCATATCAGACTTTATGGACTTTGATTTTTTGAATGAACATTGCCAAAACTATCCACAAATGATGCTTTTTTCACTCAAGAAATGAGGTTAGCACAGATCAATGAGGCCTACGACCAACCAGTTCCAAAAGAAATACAAAATCTATGCTAAATGAAAGACAACAAGTTGACAACAAGATTGAATCCAGGATTTGGATATATGCTATATGAGAGATTTACAAAAATTTTATTAAATTAAATTAATGCATTTAGCAGACACTTATATCCAAAGCGACTTACAGTGCATTCAGGCTATAAATTTTTTATCAGTATTTGTGTTCCCTGGGAATTTAACCCACAACCTTTGCGCTGCTAACGTAATGCTCTACCACTGAGCCACAGGACAATTTTTGACCGGAAAAACTAAATTAAATTTCAGCACAGCACCAGTTAAAGATGCACCAGATCAGCATAAACTACTTTGGATCAGCATGAAATTTATACATATTCAGTACACATTTTAAACTTGACTTAAGTTGATAAGCTGTCTTAAAAATGTGGCACTCGTTCCAAGTGATACTGAAAAAAGCAGCAAAACACGACATCTGCACATGTTCATAGAGCAACAATTAATCAAACAACAGCCCTACTTAAAATACACATGCGCCACCACTTGTGAAGAGATGAACTATTGTGTCAGGTGTGGAGTTTGGCAGGCTGCTTTGTCTCCATGTAACTCTTACCTCCTGAGAGAGGCGATATGCTCGTCGGAGAGACCCCCTTCCTCTTCATTTATAATCAACAATTTGTCCTTGAGCTCTTTTGGTTGCACAGGGAAACTTTTGAGGAAAATATCTGTGGGGACGACACATAATAAAGTTACACACACACACATAAACGTTCAGTCTTGAGCAACACTTGAAACGACCTCTCCTGACGGCAGCTCTTCCCACCTGCGATGAAAAACTCCTAGAGCGTTTTGAAGACAAAAGGGTTGTGTGCTTAATTACCTTTCTCTATACGAACCAAGGAGGGCCAGATGCATGCTGATTTGCATTGTACAAACCCTGAATTGATGGAAATTTCATTTCACCTAATAAACCTGACTGTGCTGTTGCACAGTTGCAAACTTAAAAAATGTATGAATAATGGCAGCTGTGGCGGTTGGGATAATGCTCATTACAGAGACATATCCACACTTTGATTGAGTGGCACCAGGTTCAAGGGTACAATTACAATGTTAAGCCTATTTTTCCTGTTTGAAACAAACTGGTATTCAGTCTACACTCTTAAAAATAAAGGTGCTTCACGATGCCATAGAAGAACCGTTTTGTCTAAATGGTTCCATAAAGAACCTTTAACATCTGAAGAACCTTTCTGTTTCACAAAAGGTTCTTTGTGGCAAAAGAAGGTTCTTCAGATTATAAAAAGGTAAGAAAGAGATGGTTCTTTAAAGAACCTTTGACTGAATGGTTCTTTGTGGAACCAAAAATGGTTCTTCTATGGCATCGCTTGAAGAACCTTTTGAAGCACCTTTATTTTTAAGAGTGATATTTGACAAGACAAAAATAAAGGGTGGGTCTTGATTTTACAATCACAAAGATTTGCGAGAAAATTTAAAAATTAACATAGCACACTAACAAAATATGCTTAACATATTTTTTTTATAGTTGTGTAATATATATATATATATATATATACTGTATATATTCTTTTTACAAAACTATTAAAAAAAACTTTAAGCATATTCAGTTTAAAACATATTAATATAGAAAACAGTTATTTTAAATTGTAACAATATTTTAAAATAGCATTGTTTGTTCAGTATTTTTGATCAAACAAATGCAGCCTTCGCGAGCACAAGAGATGTCTTTAAAAAACATAAAAAAATCTTCATTATTAATCTCTGATATGCTGTCCTCTTAATAAAAAAGTAAATGTAAGATTTGGTCTCACTTTATTTTAAGGTCCAATTCTCACTAATAACTAACTTTTAGCTATGACTTTTGCCTCAAACTCCTAATTTGCTGTTATTAATAGTTAGTAAGGTAGTTGTTAAGTTTAGGTATGGGGTAGGAAAAAGAATAAGGCATTAATGCGTATATTAATATGCTTTATAAGTACTAATAAACAGCCAATATGCTAGTAATATACATGCTAGTTAATAGTGAGAATTGGCCCTTAGAATTGTGAACCTAAAAAAAAGTGTTACCTAACATTTTAATAATTTGCTTTAGTACAACGACAATTTCAAAGCCATTTATTTAACTATATATAAAAAAAACACAAATGCTACACTGTCAAAATAATAAATGTGTGACATTAACATCATGAAAAAAAACAAAACAGGCATTTTATTTAGTGGTTTTTCAAGTAACTTTAAAATCTATACAAAAGCACTAACATATAATTTTGTCCTTGTGCTTTTATGTGCCACCTTTGTAAAATGATATGCTGTTCGCCTTATTTCCTAAGTGTGTGACTGCATTAAAAACTGCTCAGAGCTGCAGAAGCCAACAAGGACTTCAGACTCCTGATTCCAGCAGCTCACCACCAGCTGAACAGCTGGATCCACATGAAAAGTTTTTAAGCTGTAATTGCGACACTAATCATAGGTTTTCAATTAGCAATTTATTTTCTTTATGGGTGGTATATGAAGTGGGAGGAAAGAAAATACATTGAAATGGAGGACTATGAATGCTTTATTTATGAAGACTGTGGTTCCATCATTGTTTAAGGACTGGGCTCAAAGGGTGCTGTTCACTTTAAAGGGGTCATATGATGTTGCTAAAAAAAAAGCGAGGTGTGCTGTGATTGGCCAGCTATCCAGTGCGTTGTGATTGGCCGAATACCTCAAGTATCTGACGAAAATGTTCCGCCCCTTACCATATTGTGATACCGTCTGCCCAGAGCGACGAGACAAAAACATTAAAACCCATTATAAACAAAGCCGATCCGGCGATCCACAGCACGAAGTTGTTGTATTTCCTCAGCGACCAGCACGGATCAGCTCCAGGCATGACGAAGCGGATATCGTCCTCTTTTGGAAGACCAAACAAAGTAGTTTCGCTTTCACAATGAAACACACAGCGCCTTCACGACATGCGGCGGCAACAACAATTCTACAGCGAGAATAAACGATACGCCTTCTTTCTTTGCATGAACATTCGGGGCGGCGTTATGCAAATCTTCCCACATCGTGACGTAGACATGTGGGGGCGTGTTAGAACGAGCCATTTTAGGTAGGCGTGGCAGACTCTTAACTTTTATAAAGAATATTTATATTGAGAGCTTGTAACACTCCAAAGAGAAAGAAAAAATTGAAATCGCATCATATGACCCCTTTAAAGCCATTAGCTATAGCTCTCTATACAAAAGAAAGAATGAAAGATGATTAAAAATGAGAACGCACATATAGTGGGTCCAATATCATTAGTGAAAATGCTCTTTATCAGTAAAAAGAGTGTGACGAATTTACATAAATTACAGAATGATTTCATATTTGATACTTCAGCTTTAATGGCAGCAACACTCATCTTCTTCTGAGATAATTTGAGATGTTTCAAAGAGCATCTTGTGCTTCAGTGGTAGCATGAAAATCTGACCCTTGTGCAAAGTTCACATGCAAAATTGCTCATTTGAATAGTGACGTAGAAATACAATCAGCAGAATCTGAAATAATTCGTACGTAAAGAAATTCTATGGCATAAAATGAATATTTTCTGATAATTTCCTGTTTGAATAAACAAGGTTTTCCACGTGGTCTCAGACTTTTGTATATGCAAAACCATACCTGTGCCAGAAAAAAAACGAATCATATAGACATCAGCTAAGAGCAAAGGAAGAATCAGTAATCTAATATTTCACATGTGTGCCCTGATTTTTCAAGACACCAAATTCTGCATTTAAAAGTCAGAGATCTCATCTTAAGTCTCCAGAGACATGAAAGAGCAACCTCTAAGCAATAAAACTGTCCTCCGGATAAAAGCCCTGCTACTAATGATGTTGTGTTAAAAATCTCCTCAAAAGTGTCTGGCAGCAGATTAGTCTTTGAGTTTGTCATATTATAAGGACATACACTTTCTAAATTATATCAAGACTCATGATAAGTAGTCATAATGAATATAATGGATCTGAGCTGCCACACTGCCAGCTACCTAACACTGCCTATTGCCTACACTTGCATTGATACATTGAAAAGTGTAATACTTTTATTCAGCAAGGATGGGTTAAATTAATCAAAAGTGACAGTAAAGCCTTTTATAATGTTTCAAAATATTTATATTTTCTATTCATCAAAGAATCCTGAAAATAAAAATGCATCATGATTTCCACAGAAATATGAAGCAGCTCAACTGTTTTCAACACTGATAATACTAATAAATGTTTTTTTGAGCAGCAAATCAGCATATTAGAATGATTTCTGAAGAATCTTGTGACACTGAAGACTGGAGTAATGATGCTGAAAATTCAGCTTTGATCACAGGAATAAATTACATTTTAATATATATTCGAATAGAAAGCTGTTCTTTTAAATTGTAACAATATTCCACAATATTACAGTTTTTACTGTATTTTTAAAATAAATGCAGACTTGGTGAGCATAAGAAACTACTTTCAAATAAATAAATAAATTATTTATATATATA